CTCTTTGCTGGACTGATCGACACATAAGACATCCATCCAGAAATATTGTCTCGGTGCTAAAAGGCGTGGTAATGTCTCAGATATAAATTTTCCCTTGTGAGGAGAAACGAGAATCTTGAAAGGAATGCCTTTTACATCGCGCCAAGAGGCATCACACCAGATATGGGATATGGCGACGAAGGTGGTAGTCGATATATCACAATCTGATTGTGATAGTATGCCTTTTTCATCGAAGCGGCAGAGCTTGAGGACGGTCATGTTGGAGAGAAACTGTATGTATCCGCAATGGGTGTTCCAGAAGGCAAAAGTCAAAAGACTTGCATCTCTGGTTTAAAAGACCAATGGAGTATTTTAGGCCTGCAGACTTATTTGCGTTTCTTCAGACGGTGCGTGCCCTTTATGGGGCTGATTTAGCGCTAGAATGCCACTTCATCATTCTCTTGACCTTAGCAAACCAGAGCCGCCCTCCCCCCCGAAGTTTGTCGCGTTGCGAATCGGGGGCATACTCCCAGTTCTGTTGACCAGGCATGTGATTGTACTACGGGGCAGGTCCAAGCATGTGATTGTACTACGGGGCAGGTCCAAGCATGTGATTGTACTACGGGGCAGGAGATCTCGCGAGCGATGACGATGGTTTCGAGGACTTCGGTGTCGATATAGGGAGCACGGGTGTTGGTCAACGAGCGACTTAAGATGGTGTTGAGGTCGAGTAGTTGGCCCCTAGGGTTGGATGGCTCTGTGGCGGCGGCGCCCTCCAATCGTGATGCGGAGGCCATTTCTTGGCACTTTTTGGACTCAAAAGAATGCAGTCTATATCCAGGGTATGGTGAGGGCGGAGAGCTGGGTTAGGGGGCATCTCAAGAGTCAAAGCACTTTGCCGTCCTGGCTTAAAAAACCAATGGACTATTTCAGGCCTGCAAACTTATTTGCGTTTCTTCAGACGGTGCGTGCCCTTTATGCGGCTGATTCAACGCTTGAAGGCCACTCCATCATTGCTAGCCGTCACGCCATCAGGTAGGTCTAAGCATGTGATGGTACTACGCTACTGCTGACAGTCAGGCCATCAGGTAGGTCTAGGCATGTGATTGTACTACGCTACTACGTAAATCGGATTGGGGATTCTCGTCGTCGAGCAAAGTATGATTATGTTGTACGAACAAGTGCCTAACCACCCAAGAGTACTGCCGGTGGCTCGTAGCTTGTAAGGTACTAAAAACTCCACTCCAGATTCCACATTCTCTCGCAGTTCTCTCACAGTTCTCTCGCAGTTCTCTCGCAACCCCCGAAATAACTCTTTCCCTTGGTGGCTATGGCTAATTGAGAAACATATCACCTGGGTTTGGTCTGAATCATGCGAGACTAAGGTGGTATTGTTTGTGAAGGCAGTGTACTGCTGAGTAGAAAGGGGAAAGGGGGGATGAGGGAGAGTGTTACGTCGCTATATCATAGACAAGTGAGAGTGTCACCCACCTAGTACGCCACGTCTCATCTCAACCGTCATGGATGATCACATGCCTGGGATGACCAATGCCTGACTGAATGCACAAGTCTCGGTCGCCCCTCTCTCTTCGACCGTTCAGCTTTTTCTTGCACAACACAGCACCGGATCCTTAAATTTTCTTCAGCTCTAACCAAGACTAGCCAGCACTCACCGCTCCACGCCATGCCTCCGGCCACCTTTCATACCCACAACGCGGAGACCCATCTCTGGAATGACCACAGGGTCTGGGACCCTTCGAGAAAATGGAGGCCACCCAGCAAAGCAAAGGAGAGGACACCATCGAGGAATATAGTCGAGATGATGAAGCTGAATACTCGTGACGTGCGAGAGCAGCAGATTGCAAACCAGATCATTGGCCGTTTTGATCGGCTAGGGTTCCAGCGTATAAATTTGAAAAAAAAAAAAAAAAACCCTAAAAAAACCAACAAAAAAAAACCGCCCGGAACGATTTGGGGGGAAAAGTAGCCAATTCGCTTATGGAACCTTACAAGCTACAAGCCACCAGCAGTACTCTCAGGCAGTTAGGCTCATATTCATATAACATTTATACATCTTTAATTAACTAAGAATTCCCAATATATTTTATATAAGGCTTATTATAAATAGCGTAGTATAATAATATGCCAGGACATGCCTGAACCTGCCCCGTATCTACCCGCCTAGCTCTTCCACCTCTGTAGCCGCCTCCCGACAAATACTAAGCACGTTGTTATTGGCGTAGTTTCCAGTGTGTAAGGAATCGCTTATGGTTTCAGTTGTTGCCAGATCACATAGTAGGCAATCATTGTATCCATCTCGAAGGAAGTGGAGAGAACAGATTCTGCAAGCTGCAACACACAACAATCCCTAACTGCAGCTAGTACTAGGCCCAGCATGCAAGGGAATGTAATAGCGTACAGGCCTCTGGAACTGACAAGTAGGACGACAAGTAGGACAAAGTCGGCAGCGCAAAGTAGTAGCCAGCATAGAATATGCAGCCACTAGAGCGGGCTTGTTCCTTCCCCGAGAAATGCTGAGAGCTGTATGAGAACCGCAAGGAAGAGAAATGCCTCAGAGTAGGTTGGGAGTGCATTAGGAAGCTGATTCTGGCTCACGGATCCAAATATGTGACAGTACCACCCCCCCCTCTCTAGGACCAAGCTCCTGAGAGGTCGATTCAGGGGCCAGGCTTGTACGGGTATCTCTTATGGCAGTTGCGCACAACTTCCTGAGCATTCTACAAGTGCGATGCGGGCACTTCTGCAGGGTCATCGTATCCCGTCCACTTGCGGTATACTTCAGGCGGGCACGGCCTCGGCCGCAGCGATCCCAACGGGAATCCAGGACCTCCTCGACTTCCCACTCTTGCAGTCCATCCACTTTGACAGGCGGCGGAGGTTCGTTTCTCTGAGCAGGTAGCGGATCATTGGCAGCAGGTTGTAACAGGCTGACGTGGAATACAGGGTGGACCTTCATCGACTCCGGCAGGGCTAAGTGGGAAGCCCAAGGACTGACAATCCTGAACAGGCCGCAGTTCTTCCAGTCTAACTTCTTGGTAGGTCGCAGGGTCTTGATGTTACGAGCATCGAGCCACACTTCTTGGCCGACCCGATAACGGCGGGCTGTACGGCGCTTCCGGTTGGCTTGCTCCCTGTAACAGGCCTGGGATGTTCAAAACAAATTTTAAGATTTGACTCGAAAGCGTTCATAATCAAAATGAGGGAGCAATGCAACGGTTGATGGGGTGCATGAGACCTTTATCATACGCGCAAAACGATGATCAAGTCAATACATAGGTCAAAAACTGCGAGACCTGATTCATTTACACCGCCCAACGACCAGACCTCTTCATCGCATTGATATCAAACGCCCACCTCCATAGAGGCCCTGCAACTCGGCCGCTGCGCCGATGGGTTTTAGGGTCTGGGTGGCAACAGCGTCACAGAGAGCCCGGATTTGGATCTTGGACAGGGTTGGGTGCGTCCAATATACACTGAAATGGGTCTCCTGGGCAAGAAGTTTCAGGGAATCCAGCTTATCACTGTGGCCCTTGTTTTGAGGTACCAGTGAGACCAAAGGCACAACCATATCGGCAGGCCGGGTCAGACCGAACCGGAAGCAGCTCGGGTTCGGGCCCAGCTTCCCCCTGACGAGATCGGCACCACGCTAGGGACATCGTAGCCCAGGGATGTGACTCGGTCGGGATGTATGTAGAGGAACAGGGGTGTCTTGGCACTGTTGGGGCCCGCAGCCTTTAGCCCAACCGGGACGCGGATCTTGAAGAAAGCTGCCCCAGAGGCGGCGTCGAAGCGTATCTCGAGGGTCACTTGGCGTGACGGGTCAGTGTCGCCGTGGTAAAGATATCGTGGCTCAGAGTCGACTCCGACCCATTCTACAACCGCTGGTGTTCTGTCAATGTCGAAGCTCGGTGAGGTGGAAGAAGGCGGCGTTTCGGCCATGGCAGGTTTGGAAACAATAGTTCTGTGAAGATCAAGTGTTAGCATGTAGTCTTGTCAGGGACGGCGGATAAGACCACGGCCCTGTCCACCACACCAAACAGCGTTAAAAGTGTAGCCCTCCTGAGCAAAGGAGCCCAGAGAATCCCACCCTCCCAGGCTTTGGTGTAGAGGAGCAGCCTTGACTCCGGTCCGTGTTGGTAAAAAGCAGAGTACAGAACCCGCGTCCCGCAACAACGATGCCCAGTGTGCAAGTGTCCGCCGACGGGCTACTTGATCCCTCGAGGGAGCGGCCGGCGCTCAACCCCTGGGGAGTACCCTCCCACCCCCAGGCGCCATATCCGGATGCCTGCTATAGATTCCGAAAGGACAAGACCCTCCGACGGCCTACAGCACCGGCCGGATCTGGAGACCTGTGGCTTGGAAGTGGGTGACGGATTACAAGCAACTCCGAGGAGCACTGCGATGTGCGATGCAGCTCTATCGTTGAAGAAGTAGCGACCGATCCCCCGCAAAGAGCGAGTACCAAAGAACTGACCCTGCTGCTAGTGTTGTTGAATGATCATCGGTTGGATTTGTGGTCGGATGTGTTTGGCCGAGGGGTGATGTGTGTGTACAGGAGAGGAAAGGAAAGGAGACGACGTTGGAGGTGGACACACTCTAAACTTGGTGGCTGGGGCGCGACAGGCTTAGCAGCACGGTAAGCCTTCGGGGCCCCACGCGGAGGGAAGGGCCCGCCCCCCCTTTACTGTGGGGCCTGCCCACCCAGGACCCCTGCCTCCTCATCTTGCCCCAACCAAGTTCAAAATGGCCTTGTTATTTTAGCGCTAGTTTGTTATATTATATATATATGTTTAATACTAGCCTTATATATATACCTTAGTTATTCTTTTCTTCCTTTAATAATATTTATACTGGTGCCTATATTTGTACTAGTATGCTAAAGCAAGGATGATAATGTGATTATTCTTCAACAAGCGAAGGTGGCTGCTGCAAAGGAAAATGAAGGGCCATTTACTATTGCGATGTTATATATAGCGAGTGGAAACAGGAGTATAACCACAGCGGGTGTAACTCAGTTGGGAGAGTGTCAGACTGAAGCTTTACTTCAGTTCGAAATCTGAAAGTCATGTGTTCGATCCACATCAACCGCAATATTTTTGCCCATTTTTGCTTTCGTTAAATACCAGGATGTGCCCACCTTTGAATTTTCCGTCCTTTCTTTTGCTGACGGGGACATGTCAATTGAGTTAGGGTGGCTGTTAGACTAGTTAGAGTGGTTTAATGGACTCTGTTTATTGAGACGTCACTTGGGCTTTATGGCTCAATGGCTCGAAGTTTGCACCAAATTAAGGAAGAAAGAAGGAAATCAGAAGCCGTCTGCAGCCCTTGGGCCAGAAGGTGTAGGGCAGCAGGCCTTATCGATAAGGGAACCTGCAGGGGCCATCCCCGCTAGCCCTCAGCACCGATAAATTTGCACACTCCGAACATTTAGACCTTTCTCGGCGTTTGGTCACATCAACAGTGGAACTTAGTAGACCACTCTATAAAGGCTCAACAATCTGTACTAGTTGTAAAAATGACATTATTGCAATGGTTCCTCTATATGCACGCTTGGAATTGTCTCTTAGTTGGCTCTACAGTCATATACCAGCGGGAGTGCGTTTTGTTTGCTCGCTGCCTGACCAGTGGTGAAAACGTGGTAGGGGTGCAGTGAATGATTGCAGTCACTCAGACATGTTTAGGACGTAGGCCGCCCAGTATCTTCCTCCCCTTTGCCCTTCAGTACTGCAATGCAACCCGTTTGCCTGATTGTCTGATTGGCCGGTCGACCACACGAAACCACCAAGCAACCACAGAACCTCGACGTTTATCAACACCATCAATCACTTTGACTTGCCTTTCGGTTTACCGAAACCGCCAAAAAAGGCATCCATCGCTTTCCATGTACACCATCCCGCAGCAGGTTTCTTCGCTAGTAATCTGAGCAGGCCTGCTATGGCTGCCCAGATCGATGCAGGCCTGGACCTTGCACTGTGGGTCACAGGCAAACCATCTCAACCAAACCGCTTCGCTTAGGAATACGCGTTGAGTCGCCCACGCTATTCGAGGCGGGCTCCTCTGGCTGGGTTGTACGCTTACATAAGAAAAGAGCGTGAAGAAGAAAGAATCTCACGGTTTGGATGAGTACGCGCCTGCCTTCCCCGGTTGGGTCAGAAGGTACGCAGGCATCAGCAAATGTACTTTGAAATAAATTGGTGTGCAGACCAGGCCCAACATTGTAATACATCGCTGGCCAGCATCCCTTTGCATGCCAATTCGGCACCAACTGCATTTCTTTTGTGCAACGCTGATCTTGGCAGTAATATCTCAGAGTCCTTGTGCCGACAGCCCTTCGGAAGGGGAGGGGGGCTCATTTCGGCAAGGGTTAGGACTCGGCGCCGGCATCCTAGGGTTAGGGGAGCCGTCCCGGCTTTCTGGCGAAGCGACGGCTAGTTCGACTAGTTAACCACCGACAGCCGATCACGCCATTGCCCCTGCTGCGATTTAGGAATCAAAGAATAGAGCCAAGCCTTTTGCAAGCACACTTCACAACAAAACTCACTTTTATATACTGCAACTCACACCTCGACAACACACTTTTACGAGACAGGATCCACCATACACCCTCGAATCCTCTGCCCTTAGATACACCATCGATTCCGAGCATACCGACTCACTTTTCCAGTTTCAGTATGGCTGGAGCACTCGGGGCGAGGGCCGCTCGCGCCTCTGCGAAGAGCCTGAGGACCTCTTCACTCAGAACCTACGCGACCGTCACTTCGATACCTGCCAAGCCCCACCACCGCGTCGTTGTCGTCGGCGGCGGCACCGCAGGCGTGACCGTCGCAGCGCAGCTGGCGCGCTCGAAACAGTTCCAGAAGGACGACATCGCCATCCTCGACCCGGCCAGGGACCACCACTACCAGCCAGGGTGGACCCTCGTCGGCTCTGGGCTCAAGCCCCTGAGTGACATGAGCAGGCCGCTCTCCAGCCTCATCCCATCTGGCGTCACGCATTACCCCCTGCAGGTCTCTCAGTTCGACCCTGAGAACAACCAGCTCAAGACGGCAGACGGCGTCGAGGTCTCCTATGAGTATCTGATTGTGGCCCCTGGCCTTGAGACCAACTTCGCAGGGATCAAGGGACTTCCCGAGGCCCTCCAGGACACCAGCAGCCAAGTCAGCTCCATCTACTCCAACAAGACGGTGGAGCAGGTGTGGAAGAACATCCAGGACTTCAAGAAGGGAACTGCGATTTTCACCCAGCCGGCTGGCGTCATCAAGTGCGCCGGCGCGCCACAAAAGATCATGTGGATGGCTCTGTCACAGTGGGAGAGGGACGCAGTGAGAAAGGATATCCTGCCTTACTTTGCCACCGGTGGACCCGCCATGTTCGCCGTGCCAAAGTACTCCAAGGCTCTCGAGGAGCTGCGTGTCAAGCGCCGCGTCGAGGGGCTGTTCCAACACAACCTGGTCTCAGTGGACGCCGCCAACAAGGTTGCCACTTTCAAGAACCTCGCGGCAGACGGAAAGGAGGTCGAGAAGGAGTTTGGTTTCCTGCACGTCGTTCCTCCTCAGAAGCCATTCGACTGGGTGGCGAAGTCCCCTCTGGGTAAGTGCTTCCTCGAACTTTCTGCTCCCAATGATCTTTCCCAGTATTGCGTTGCAAAATTCATACTAACACCACACCCGCAGCCGACTCCGCCGGTTGGGTCGACGTCGACAAGACCACAACCAAGCACAACAAGTACGCCAACGTCTTCTCCATCGGCGACGCCTCGTCGCTGCCCAACTCCAAGACCGCGGCGGCAATCAGCTCCCAGGCCCCCGTGCTGGTCGACAACCTGCTCTCCACCATCCGCGGCGAGGAGCTGAAGGCCGGGTACACGGGCTACGCCTCGTGCCCGCTGCTGACCGGCCACAACGAGCTCATGCTCTGCGAGTTCAAGTACGGCGGCGTGCCCGACGAGACTTTCGCCAAGGTCCCCGGCATCGGCAGCCAGGATGTGCCCCGCCGTGTCTTCTACCACCTCAAGAAGGACTTCTTCCCGTCAGTGTACTGGAACAGCTTCGTCAAGGGGACGTGGTTCGGGCCCAAGGGCTGGTTCAAGCCTGACACCACCAAGACTGCTTAATGGAATGGCCATATCGTGGTGATTGGGGGGTTACAGGATCATGGGATTTAGAGAAAAGTTCTGTATGAAAAAGTTGTTGCGATGCTGAGAGCTACGGCCGTCGTCCAAGATTCCCATCATTCCTGGGGTGTGAGACGGTCTGCGTGACTAATATAGTTATGTATGCGTCTGGGCTGGCCACGTCACAGCTCAATTGGGAAGACCCGGTCTGAGCATCATTGGTCAACCAATTTGGCTGCGAGGCTTGGCTTCCAATTAATCCTGCAATATCATATAGCCGCCATGAAAACCAGCCAACGTCCGCCCACCCATGGTTTTCCGTCCGCCCACCCAGTATTTACTGCCCGCCCACCCAGTACAAAAATTTGGTTACACACACCACTAAGGAAAAAGGTACCTTGCCAAGACAAAAAAAAAGCCTATATACTTTAAGCTACTTTGGCCCTCTGGCCTTCTGGCTGTAGTACTCTCTAGCCCTCTAGCCGTTTGGCCTTCTGGCCCTCTAGCTTTCCGCCCACCCATTAGGCTTTCTGCCTATGCCTTCTAGCCCTCTAACTATAGTACTTTCTAGCCTTTTAGCCTTTTAGCTCTCTAATTACAATACTTTTTGGCTAGAAGGCTAGAGGGCCAAAGTAGCTTAAAGTATATAGGCTTTTTTTGTCTTGGCAGGGTACCTTTTTTCTAGTGGTGTGTGCAACCAAACTTTTGTACTGGGTGGGCGGACAGTAAATACTGGGAGGGCGGGCAGTAAATACTGGGTGGGCGGACGGAAAATCATGGGTGGGCGGACGTTGGCTGCATGAAAACCTGCATCCCACCCTCCGTCTCCCAATTGAGCTCGACGCCCGGGGTCACAGAGTAGATGAACCCCTCCTTCAGCTCAAACTCCTTTCCCCCCGCGCCCATTCCCCCAGTATCCTGCGTAACAAGCAAAACCCCCGGGCCATCACTAGCCTCGAGCTCATCACTCTCCCCCGCACTGAACCCAGCCACGATCATGTCAAACTCGCTCAAAGGCGGCTTCTAAACCTCAGTCCTACCACTATTACTCCTCTCGCTCTTCTGTTTCGGGAGGACCACATCCTCCTTGCTGTGCGACTTGAACGTCAATGTGTTGGCAAACATATCGACGTTGTTCCTGTCGGCGGGCGGGCAGAACCCCACCCTCAGGACGTTATTCGACCGCGCCGTGCACTCGACAATGTTGCCAGAGAAGTAGGCGCGGATGCCATCGGCGGGGATGTAGATTGCATCGAGGGGCTGGAACGTCAGAAAGTCCATACACGTCATGGCGACGATCGAACCTGCGTCGCCGGGGCCATATTGGCCCTGCAGGCGCGGGAGCAGGTCTAGGATGTACTCTGCCCCGACTGCCTTGAGGTCCGACCGCGGCGTGTTCAGGAGGTCGCTCTCGATCGTCTTGACGGTGGCCTCGTCGGCCTTGAGCAGGGTGCGGGTGACTTCGCGGAGGGTGTCGTTGTCCCATTTGTCCACGGGTGCGGCTGGTGAGAAGGAGCTCAGGGCGGATAGTTTGAACAGGGGTTGGATCTCTGAGAGGGGCTTGAACCCTGCGAAGACTTTGAATAATGAGAGGGCAACTGCGATCTCTGGCTTGTGGTCGGTGTCGGTAAACTGGTCTGGGTCTTGCTTGTGCAGCTTGGTGGTTAGATCCTTGTTGGAATGCAGCTGGAGCGGGAGTGCTTTTGCTATCGAGAGAATCTGCAAGATGAGCAAGGTCATTTGTTTCTGCTCACAGGTCAAATAACTTGAGACACCCTCACCTTTGGCAGGAATGGCAGCTGTGCGTCCATCGTCTCCACGCCCTTGCCCAGGAGCGTCTGCTGGCCCTTCTTCAACACATCCGCAAGAAGCTCGCCCGTCTCGAGCACCCGCGCCGGAAAGTCCGGGTAGCCACCAAACCACATCTCCGAGTAGTACTGCTCATTTTCGATCTTGAAGTCGGTACCTGGAGTCCTT